GTGATTAACTAATGTATACTTGAAGAACTAAAAATGGAACTATCGAAATGTAAATGTGGTAAAGAAGAATTTTTTGTAAATGAATAAAAATTTGGTCAAGAAGAATGTATGATGTCATCTTACCACTCAAGAATGATTCATACAAAACCTGACCTGTTCATTACAACAATAAATTTACATAGCACCTAACATTTTGATATTCCAATCAGTAAATAACTACCTTACCTACACCTATAAGTTCCAATGTTTTGTTGACAAGGTTTTTGGGCACTGAATGTTATATTTACAAGACCTACACCACGGGGCTGATGGCACGTGACGCTCACGTGAGACATTCAAACACATGCTGTCTACATCGTCATACCCGATGTGAGTTACACCTGCCAGCCAGCATGGGCTACACCCAGTCTGGTCACGTTGCTACAATGTGATGACTCACCCGACAAGCAGGTGAGTCATCTCACCTTGTTAAGGGTGTGAGGCAGGCTGCGTGACAACCAGGGGGGAAGATCGCACACCTGTACTGTACGGAAGTTGTATTGAGCTTGTGAGCATTGGCTCATCCCAGTGCTTTCCCAGCCTCGTGATGGCTGAATAAACACACCAGTTGAATCAGGCGGGGATGTTTCCAACCTTTGCTTGCTGAGTGCACACTATAACAATGATCTGATCTTTGCATTGACAAGGACTACATGTGGTAATTATAGAAACACAAATAACATGGAGAACAGTTAGAAAACAACAAAACTAAGACTAGAACTAAAACTAAAAATAGTCTGTGAGTGAAATTTGATGATTGATTGTAGTGCTTGATAATATGATTCGATGAACTGTTTCTATTGAAGAGGATCATTGAGCAATCAGCCAATGAGTTGATCAGTGAGAGATAAAAAAATGACACAAAGAAAGACCTACAATCTACGAGATCGATCCGGGTGTACGGGGCGATAAGAACCATGAGAACAAAAAGGAAGGGCAACATTGATATCTGGTCGAGAGGAGTCATGATAAATATATGAACAAATTAACAGAAAAGTACCAAAAGGTTAGTCTTCAACTTCATTGAGATATCAGAAGATTGTTCAAGCAGGGGGAGAAGAGGACTTACAAATGAAACAAACAGTCAAAGGGTTTGATGTTAACACTTCAAACAGGAGCAAACCATGACATCAAGCTTCACAGTAAATTGAATGAGATAAATATGAAAGAATGAAAGACTGACAAATGAAATAATCGATCAAAGGACTCCAATATGAATGGAACAGAACTAGAGTCAGCAAATATGAATCTGAAAAAATGAAATTTAAAAGAGTGTTTAGATAGAAAAGAAAGACTTGAATCCAGCCAACTGGTACCTATCAGAATGATGATTTATGCAAAGAAGTCGAATGAATGAGCGCCTCCAAGACAAAGGTGATCGATGTGATGTGATGACCCATGAGTGACAAAGGACTCGAGCGTAGACTGGGGCAGTGGACAAGGTGTAACTGTGGAGTCTGTGACATGTGTCTGTGACATCATACTTGACAGCATGTGTACCCGGTTCTGAAAATGACACCGGGCTGTGACATTTACACAGCCTGCTTTTGGAAAAGCGGCCTTCGAATTTCAGGATCACTTTGGCCAACAGCTCTTCTTGATCGTTCTTAACCATTAAGCTAGCCCCATTGGGTAAGTCTTTTCTTCTTCTTTGTCATCCAACACTCTCAACTTGATACTAATAGCCTTGTATCTCAATTGTCTTTTGATTGTCTTCTAGGGTTTCAAAGCTATCATCGCCAGTTTGTATCAAAGTAGTTGCTCTCAGCTTTCACTTCCGTTCATCTATTGGGTATACATGTTGATGTTCCAGGTTGTAAGTTTTTTGTTGACTTTGATCTTATACATACCTCTTATGTCTGTGTGTGATGCAAGCAACCCGTGTTTTTTGTGTTTTGTTCTTTTTTGATAGTGTCAATAAGGCTGACATATCTTTTGATAACAAAAATGTTCTCACTGTATAGCGTAATTAGGATACTTTTGTACAATATTGATGTAATTAGCATTTACGGATTCTGTTTTCAATAGGAATCTAAAATGTTCATAATCAGTTACAGTATGAACACAAAATAACCAATTGTGGAGATGCATCAGAAAAAAGAAAAGAAAAGGATCCCAGAATTGATCAATGGGCTTTTTCTTGTTTTGTGTACTTGTCTCGATTCACTTTGTGTTTTACACACATTAAAAAAATACCCATCTGCTCAGCACCCGACGCACATTTGGATGCTAGTTGTCCAAGCTGAGTGTGTGGATGGGAGGTTGTACTGACACATGCCGGCTCACGTGCCGCCCAGGTGCTTAGGACCCAAATCAGCTTGCATGACTGGCATCCAAGTTCATTCGTGTGCTGAGCACCTGGCTTTCAGGCCACACTCACATGCATCAGCTCACCCGCTGCTCACGGCGAGCTCATATGTAGAACGGGTGGCAAGCTGGGGTGAGGGCCACGTAGCTGCGGTCACACTGCTGCCACCTGTTCTACACAACCACTCGGCGTGGTCATACCCAACTTACGTTTCACGTGGTCCCAGTTCAAAGTCGCCCCGTGGTGTACAGTAGCGCACAATTTTGTTGCCCAAGTGAGCAAAGTTGAGAGCCTCAGAGTAGGCTTGTTTGATAGCCCTACTCTATGCGCATCTTTTGAATCACTCTTGAACTTGAGGTAAAGAGGGGTGTGGTGTGTAGAGCCCAAAAACTGAAAAACAGGTTTTGTCAGATACCTCTATAGGCACATTCCTGGGACCTGTTCCAGACCGCCCCCTTCCCATTCCATGTTTGCATCATACAGTTATACTTTTCTTTTCCCCGGCTAAAAGGGGTCTGTCAAGCCTCACAAGGGGGGACTGCCTTTAGTAAAATCCTTTTTTTTTTGGTGGGGAAAAAGAAACAAAGATACTTTTGGCAGCTTTTGGCCTTGTCTTCCCTGCCAAAAAAAAGTATATAGCAAAAAAGTATGTACACATACATACTTACTTTGAGTACCCAGGCCCTTAATGTTCAAATTGCTGAGTTTTTGAGTGAGAACATTGGATTTGAGCATTTTCAGTATCTGGTTGGAATTCATAAGACTTTGATAATAGGAACCATACAAGATCTCTTTTGAAGAACAGGTCCCCATCACACTGAATTTGGATCTATATTTCACAATTAGTTGAGTATCTTAGAATCTTATTATAAAGTCTTACTATGGTGCATGGTTTGTACTCTCATATATATGCTCAAATATACTTCATTTGGTATGTTGGAATGTATTTAATTTCATTGAAGTTGAGAACATGTTGTGATCTAGATATGATTATATAATAGATTTGATATTCTTGATTTTTTTAATTTGATGATTTTCTTTTGCTTGAATGGAATGGCCTCACAAATCACTGGAGCCATGACAGGATGTGTTCATTTGAGCTTTGATGGATAGATCATGCACATTGGAGCTTTGGGCATTCTATCCTCATAGTCATGATATGTATTGGTTTTGGTTTTGAATGATACTAGAGAATTGAAGTCAGAATGATTTACCTTTTTGGGTTAGAATTGGATTGGAATTCAAAAGTTCAGCTTGAAAACAGTTTATAGGTTTCTTTTAATTGGACTTGAAGAAAGCTTATGAGTGATTTTCATGAGCTCAACTTGGAAGTTCTTTCCATTTTGATGGTTTTAAGTTTTAGGTGAAAGAACTTTAAGACTGATTGTGGTGGTCTTTTGTTTTGTTTGCTATTCATATGTTTGTGTGATTTTATGATGATTAGGTTCTGAATTGAAAGTTGAAACACTTGGATAGGAGTTATATTTGCATACCAAACACATTAAAGTATCTTTATCATGAAGTTGAAATACCGGACATACCAGGGGAAGTTTTGATTGATTGGTGTATTTGCATGCTGGATTATGGTGAATGGAAGATGCTCAGTTGATTTATAAGAGAATGTGCTACTGGGCTAACTAAAACCAATGAGTCACCAGTCAAAGATTGAATGCACCAGGTCCAAGGGGTGCTTGATATCCTCCCCGCAGGCTCCGGGGGACGTCTCTGCGGTTGGTGGGGCTTGTGTTAAGCTAGGGTTGATATGGATAATCTAGAGGAAGAAAGGGGACCCTGGCCTCAGCCTTGGTTAAGTTGAAATGACGCTTGAAGGTAGGGAACTTGATTCTTGTTGAAGTTGATTGAGATTTGTTGAGAGAGTGTTGAAAAGTTTCTGATGAGCGATGTCAGAAATTCAAATTAACCCTGAACCAACCAAACCAAACCAATCAAACTGAACCAACAAACCAAATACTATTACTATTACCCTCGCAGCAAAGTTCAAGTACAAGTCGTCATGAATTCAACTCAGCAGGGTCATCACTTAATCAAACCCTTATCATTCTAAAACCACCTCGATGAGACTCTAAGCAATTCTACTTTATATAAACTAACTCATTCTCAACACTCAATCAAACTAACCATCAAACATCATTCACTTTCATTCAATCAATCAATCAATCTCTCTCAAATGGCTTCAAATCGATTCGAATTCTCAAGACTACTTTCACCTGCTACTTCTGCTTTCTCAGATCAATCTATAGATCCTACGACCATTCCTGATGCTCAAATCCTTTCAATCGATTTGATTCATCCTACTACATCGGTTCTTACTCCGGCTCAATTGATTACTACTCCAGATGGAGTTTTGCTTCATCCGCTTCATTCGGATTCTTACTCTCGTCGGTATAGCTTATTGGCTTGTTGGACAGCTTGTTTTCCTTGTATGTACAACTTCATTTCTTTTCCTCTATATGAAAAGATATTTTTATTGATATTTGATTCTTTGGGGGGGGGCGTTTCTTTAGATCTTAAAAAATCTTCAACTTCTTATTACTCTTATCAAAATATCTTGAATTGTTCAATTCTTGACTCATTTGATTCTAACACCCCGAATCAAATCGAATTGACTAGTTTAACTTCTACGGATGCGAAAGACGGAAGAGTGACGAGTTTGAAAGCTAAACTTTCATCTCATGAGGATCTTAACTTTGCTCGAGAATGGGTAGATGTTGTGCTACAAAAAGCTTATGGTCGTAAGTGATCTGTTGAAAGTCCCAAGTCTTTTTTTTCTTTGGCTAATCTCTGGGTTGGTTTGTATAGGTGTGAATCGAGATCGAAAAATGTTGGTCGTCGTTAATCCGTATGGTGGTTCAGGACAAGGCCAGAAAGTATGGGATACGACTGTGTTACCGATTTTCAAAGCTGCTAATGCTTCCTTTGAGGTGATTTGTACGTTGATGAATTTTACTTTGGAAACCCTTTTGTAGACTATCTTTGCTGACATAATCTGTTTTGATGGGTTTGATTTCTAGTTACCACACATCGGGGCCATGGTATTGAGATTGGTGAAGGCATCGATCTGACTCAGTTTCAAGTTTTAGTATGTGTTTCTGGGGATGGGATTGTACATGAAGTCTTGAATGGAATTGGACGTCGAGCAGATGCTGGAATAGCTTTGAAAAAGATCAGTTTTGCTTCGATTCCAGCTGGTAAGTCTTTGATCTTGATCTTGATTTGATTTCAAAAAAAAAGATGGCAGTCTTGTGTGATAGGTTCTTTGACCACCTTGAATCTTCTTTATTCACCTTTTTTTTCGTAGGTTCAGGTAATGCTTTATCTGTTAATAACATGGGACCACAGAATTGTCGTAATACGGTCTTGGCAGCTCTAACTGCGTTAAAAGGTCGAGCGGTTCCCTTGGATCTATGTAGTGTGACTCAACTACCGGCAGGAAAATCGGTGGATTCAGGTGTAGAACCGATTAGGATGCTTAGTTTCTTGAGTACTTCCTTTGGATTGATGGCAGATTTAGATGTAGGAACTGAGAATTGGAGATGGATGGGAGAAACAAGGTTTATACTGGGGTATTTGAAAGGTGCATTCAAGAATCCAAAACAACCTTGTAGATTGGATATCTTATTGAGTGAGTTTGATAAGAAGGTCATGGAAACGAACTGGATTAAACAACGAGCCGAATTGAACTCCGGATCATCAGCTTTAGATGTTCAGGATAGTAGTCTGGGTGAACCTGAAGATCGGGGTTCAAAGTCGGATCGATCGAACGGATTACCTGATCTTATGTACGGTGATGTTCGTACACCGATTCCTAAAGCTGCATTACCATTCTCATCTACCTCGACTTCTGGTGATCCGAATCCGATCAAAGATCAATGGTATACACTTGAAGAACCTATCACATCGGTTTATGCTGGTACACTTCCCTTCATGGCAGCTGATCTGCTCGAGTTTCCTATGAAACTTACGGGCGATGGATCGATTGATATTATTGTGCATCAATCTCCTTCGGTTTTGAGAACTTTACTTTGTATTGATGGAGCAGATCAAGGTAGTATGTTTAGAAATAAAGATGTAAGTGAAATTCGATTCAAACGAAAAATAAAAGTTTTTGTGATGAATGTAGAAACTAATGGGGTGTTTTGAAAATTTGGATTATAATTTTTTTCTGCTTTTGCTTTTTTTTGACACAGTGTCAATATTTTAAAGCTAAAGCCTTTAGATTAACACCCCTACCGCTACCTTTAAATAAGAATGATGAACCGATTGGAAGGAAAAGTTTTATTGTTTTAGATGGTGAGAATATGCCTTATCAATCTATTCAAGCTGAGATTCATTCGGAATTGGGTAGTGTGTTGTGTTTGAAAAACCGATTGGGTGAAATGGGTGTACCGGAAAAAGTTTTGAAAGAAAAGAATTGAATGCGGGGTTCTTTCTTTTTGGAACACAAAAAAAACTTGAAGAAATTAAAAATTGGTTGTGAGATATGGAGGGAGAGGATTGGTTTAAAGTTTTGATGTGTTTACTTTCGTTTTTTTTTTCGTTTTTTTTTCTCGTTCTCAACTTCTTCAAAAAACTTTTTTCTTGTGTTTACTGCAATGTTTTGTTGTATCATACTTTTCTTTTTGCTCATCATAAAATCCTTTAGATCATCGTTTTGTTTTGTTTTTGATTTTTTTTTCGCATTCATTTTTTTCCTCCCTCCATTCTTTTATTACTACATACAGTTTCAAACTTCATAGTACCGAACCAAAAAAATGGATGAAAGTGTGTATGTATGAGATGAGAAAAAGTTTGGTCTTTCGTTCGTTTGGTTTTTATACATCATGGTTTTTTTGCTGCTTCTTCTTGATTTTCTTTTTTCTATTACTCTGTCTTTTTTTTGATGAAGCTTGATTGATTGTATGATTGGCTTTTTTGTTTTCGTTTTCTGGGGTTTGAAAAACCTTTACACAAAAGTTTTTCCTTTACCTTTGTTAATTCTTGTGTTGATTTTTTTTTGGTCTCGTTTTCAAAGAAATTGAAATTTTGATTCTCGTTTTATTCTGGTTTCATGACTGGAAATTTCATAAATTTATTGAAGTTTTTTTGGTTTTGGTATTTTGTAGGTATTGTGAGGTAAGTATATGTGTTGAGCTCAATGATTTATTGACTCTTTTTTGCATGGCTTGCAGTGATGTTGGATGGAGACTCAGCATTTTGCTACCAAGTTTTGTACCACAAGCCTTTAAACCGGGTGCACTGTGCGTCTGTTGGACTCGTCGGGCTCTGAGGGACCTCTCTGTGTTTGGTGGGGCTTGTGTTTAAGCCTGTTTAAGCTAGATATCAACCAGTACACCACGAGGACACTCGGATACATTCGAGGATATCCTCTTTTCTTGCAGAGGGCGAGACATCCTTTAAAACAATGAAGAAAGAAAAAAATGTCACCCTCGGACACCGTCACTGAGCGTTCCAAGATGTGCTCGGACTGACAACACCGCCATGGCATTCAAAGGATGAAGTGAGGATGTCCCACCCTCGGGTTATCTCAATGACGCCCCGACTTGGGATGCCAGCCCACTGTGTCAATGTAGGACAATCGGAACATCCTCCTGCAAGAAGGTGTCTTTGTGTTGTATACATAAGAAAGTCTTTCTGCTGGGTTTCCCGAGAGAAGACATTGCACAAGTCTATATATAATCAGCCGGGGACAGAAACCACAATTCAATAATCAGTCGGAGCCGGCGTCCTGCCGACTCTTGCCGATCGATAATCTGCATCTTGATTCTTGGCCGCATCCCAACCCCATGCGGTGAAGAATCTTGGCAGGTGCGAGGTAGTATGCAAATTGAACTAGTCCTCCCTAGTCTGCAGAAGGTTCTTTGTGACACCTTTTTCGTGGCTTTGGAAGGGCTGTAAAGAACATGAGTTGACCTGGTGACGATTTTATACTCAAGTTGATGGATGGAACTTTGTACCGGTGGCGTAAGATGTATCTCTCAAATGACTACGAAGTTCGAACGCATGGTTATGTAAATTCAAAGGCAAAATGGTTTGCTTTGAGGAGTCACACGAGCATTCGCCACTGAAAGAGTATAAAATAGCCTTGGCTAAAGAAGCATGGTCCATAATATCCTCCGAGTCCAACGTCTACTTCCTTCCATCGACTTAACGTATTCTTCACCGATCTTTTCTTTTTCTTTCGGAATTGACTTCTGGAAGGTGTTTTAAATTTTGATTGCATAGCTCTACGATTTGTGAAACTGATTGACATCTACTTCTGTGAAGTATGTCTTGGATCCAATCGAGCCCCATCTTTTATCTTTTACTCGTTGTCCTGCTGGCGGGGGATCTCGGGTCGCATATCTTTGCAAATGCTAATGCTATAGATTGCACCCGCGGATGGAGCGTACCAACGCCCGCTGAAGATAATAAATACCGTTAGTCGAAGGATCTGATTTATCCTGTAGTCTTTGACTTCTTCCGATCCAGTCCATGATTTATCACTTCCAGGAATGATATGAACTGACCAGACACTTTGAAAACCCGCCATCTTACAAAAAACATATACTCAAAGTGTGCATGGTGAGACGTGCGGACGGATTTGACAAATATCATTGCGAATGGTGTGGAAGAAATGATAAGGAACTACCTTGTGCGATTTTCTTCTCGTTTTTCGATCAATGGCCAACACGGGGAAGGACTGCTTACCTTTTTTATGAATGGATCATCACACAGCTGCGACTGCATGCGCTGGTCCTCGTCTTGGACCATTGCCTAACCAAGGAACACTCGCTTGCAATGTCGGACAGGATGAAAATTATTTAAACTGGAACCCAAGACCTATCAGTGAGTGAATCTGATTGTATTAGCTCAGATCGAGTGACATTGAATGTCGTACAATTGATTTTCAAAACTTTTGAGACACATCATGAGAAGATATACTGATTTCTTGATACCCAAAATTGGTTTACGACTTTTTGAATTTTGTAAAAAAAATTAAAAGTTTGTGTGCATAGCAATCCAGGCGACAAGCCGGTAAAGCACACTTGCAAATACCCCAAAACGTGGCAACGTAAGTTGAATGTTTTTGAAAAAATCGTTTTGAAATTAACCATATATGAGATTTACTTATCACTTATTTAATGGATTTTTTTTCTCTTTGGATTGAACTTGATCATCTTGATTATGATATTTAGAATGTCCTAGAGACAAGTGCAAACTAATTCCAGGATGATCTTCATTCTTATAGACATTTTCCTTTCCTTTTTGTTTGTATTTATGATTTTCTTTTCTATTTCTCTTTCTAGAATTGAAAGATCTATTTAAGACTTTATCGGTTTTTCTGGGTTTCTCAACTTGAAGAAATTTAAATTGTTTATATTATTCCTTTCTACTCGACTCACATTCCGTTAGTATAAGGCTTTGAGATTGATTAAGATTGATTTCTGGTCTTCAAAGGATGAAAGCAACTACCTAGCTCTGGAATTTGTTTTCACAAGACTGGATTTTAAACATGAAAATAATCTCTATCCTTACCGTCCAGTTCACTGCGAAATTGCCTTTTGGAGTTGCTCGATGGTAGGGGAAATGTGCCTGGGTGGTCTTGTCAAACTCTTTCTGGTTTTCTACAAAATTTTGACAAATGTAAAGATTTTATTCCTTGATCAGTTTACTTTTCGCATTCCTTCACTCTTACACACCTCATGATACAAAATTCAAAGAATAGGTTTTTTAAGGAGACACTCCATCGGATAAAAGTAATTTTGATAAATATCCCTTATAACACTATTGTTTTGTTGTTGATTTGATGTATGATTTGTTTCTGTTTCTAGTTGGAAATGATTATTTGAGATTTGCTCACGTTTATTTCAATTTCTTTTGAATTGGTAATCTGACCTTGAAGGAATCAAGTTTTGCTTAATTTTGTCATGCCCTCTTACTCAGCCCACTTGAGTTGGTCTAATATTGTGAGATGGATGAAGATGAACTTTTGATGATCAACTACGACACCTAATTCCTTATAGAGGAGCAATGTCTTTATGGATAGGATACTAGCTTTTTGGGAATCTATTCTCACAAAACAATAGCCTCAAAACGTACACGATTTTTCCATGAGGATTGTTTTGGTTCAAAACTTCTCTGTGAGATTGATGTACTTTTCCAGGTTGCTCAAGGATACATGGAAAGATGGAATAACTGACAAGATTGGTAAATCAAGAACTCCTCTGATTCCACATGATTTTAATGAATGTGTTGGTATATTTTATACAATGCATCATAGTCAAAATGTATTCGAGGAGATCGTTCAAACGGCACTCTGGCAAGACTATGGACTGAGGACTGTCTGCTATGATCTTTTTAAACCAGTATCAAACGATGCGATGAAGAATCTAGGCATTCAGCCCTCTCGAACCCTATCAGTCTGGGTAATAGGTTGTACAGGGTTCTTGGCGTTACCTTCTCCGCTATGCGTTTTCTTTTTTTTCGGTAGGCCTCGAAGGGAACTTAGTCATCCGTGGCTTTGAATACAGCGTCAATTGAAGACAATCTCTCAAGTTAACTGAAGAACTCCTATGGACTCGCGGTCTCCATTAACGTAATTCTGCTTCCCAATCGGTGACGAACCCTTGGCTAAGTGAAGGGTAAGAGTGTTTCATACAACATATATATCTGGACTTTGGGGGCAAGCGCCTGGAAGCGCAAAATTCTTCGCTGATATCGTATAACGCTGCATCTATTCCGTACTCCCTGAAAGCGCCTGTCCCATTGCTGTTTTCCCCCTGACCTTACCAGATTTAGAATCTTTAATAGCTATACGACTCGCAAAACTCATCGACATCTCGTTTCCTGACGTATGTCTTGGATCCTCTCAAGCCCCATTTTTGGTTATGTGTTTGTTTTGCTGCTGTTGCAAAATCTCGGGTCGCACATGTTTGTAAATGCCAATGCCATAGAATGCAATCAGTCTTGGCAGAAAACTACTCCATTTCAAAGTTGGTCGAACAATCCCCCTCATCCTGGAATTTTCCACTTCTTCAGATCCAATCAATTATCTATCACTATCAAGCAGAGTGCGAGCTGACAAAACATGTTTATACAACCTTCCTCTCACCAAAAATAATACTCGAAGTGTGTCAAGTAGACAGTAAGGGTACATATACAAACTATGCTTGCAAATGGTGCGGAAGGGCAGATAACGGAAAACCCTGTGCGAAGGAATCGTCTTATTTCGAAACAATGGGCAATTGGAGGCTTACATTCTTGTTCAATGGATGATCATACAGCTGCGACTGACTGCGAGGGCCCGAGCGGAAAACCATTGAACACCGCAGGATCATTCGTTTGCGATGTCGCAATGGAGTACGATGATATTAAACACGTTGCAAGACCTATCCGTGAGCCAATTTTCATTTGTTATTTACCTCATTCAAAGACGCGTGGATGCACAGATAGGTTCTAGAACCGTGAAATAACACGAAACTTTTCATCAACATTGACACACCATATTATTACTAATTTTGGCAAATTGAATTACTCCGTAAATTTCCAAAACAAAAGGTTGCACACATCTTGACACTGATGGAGTAGCAAGAGACTATCATTGCGCGAGACGACATCTGAACCAACGCAAGTCCTCTAGAACAGCTAGAACTGACTTTTGATCAATAATCATCAGCTGACCCTGTCTATCTATTGAACTTGAATATACCATGTCATTTAGAATGTCCTCAAGAGTTGTGTCATATTGTAAATAAGGGCAGTTGAAATCCGATTTCTGCGGTGCAATCATCCCTATCATGTCTGATTTACCGTCCATATAATCGTGATTGTGATGATACGACTTCAAAAATCTGTTAAAAACAATTATCCTCGTGGTTTTTGTCTAGTCAAAGCTGTTGGTGTCGCCTGATGATTACAGGTGGATGGTTAGGGGCATCATCAATTGTTGGTCTTGGTAAACACTTCCTGTGTTGTCCGCAACACTTTGATCTACTAGGTGAAAATTTCTTTATTATTTTGCTTTGTCTTGCTTTGCATTCCTCTACTCTTACAGACCCTGTAAAAGCAATAGGTCTTACAAAGCAACACACCACCTGATATAAGTCAAGTTGACTAATATTCCTTCTTATACTTCACCATGTAAATATCCTTGTGGGAGTTGCCATGCAAACACAGAGAGTCTTGAAACATATCTGAAAGTATTTTGGTTGGATTCAGACTGAGATTGTTGTTGAGCACCCTTTGTGAATAGTGATTTATTTATAGGAGCTGCAGAATCCTTTGTCTTCATCTGGGGTCAAATGACTGTCAACGTCACAGTTGATAAGGGGAAGATATGCCTGTTGTGGTATATCTTTGATGGGTCTTTACCGGGTCTAAGGAAAGACCTGTGTGTGTGCACGCCAACGTGCTACAAGGATATCTACATGGTGCTCTTTTTCTGTTGTTGCTTGGATATATGATTTTCAGTTTGAAAATATCATGCCACAGGAATTTCCGGGGTTTCTGTTGATTGCTTTTCCTTTGGTATTCACCAGCTTTGACAAAAAATAAGTTTCCCCCTTGAGTTTATTCAACATGGTGGAATGCATGGACATATAATCTCAACAATCAAAGTACATAAACACACAAAATTTCCAATTAGAGGAGCAAACTCCATCAATTTAAGCTTTTCAGGGGGGGCTATCCCGACTTATAGGTTATCAGTCTTTTGGGACTCTATTTTCACAAAAATGGTGTCAAGAAATTCATAACTGTTTCTATGATGATGTATGTCCAAATGTCGTGTGTGATTTCAAATCTTGATCAGTAAATCAACACCTTGTCTCATTCAAATTTCATATTTCAGGTGTGGTTATTGCAGATCAACTCACCATTGCACTCCACAATATACGTGGGTTTTGTAGAAAGGGGTTGATGGATTCATTGGATCACACTTGAGATATCAGTCTTCAGAGCATCTATAGCTCATATCTTGTGGGCTCCCAGTCAGACCATCTTCCCCATATGTACTGGATATTCTTGCGTTAAGTGGAGTGGAGGATTGAGATCATCATCTCCACAACCTGCCACTTCTTTTCACAGGTCACAATCACTCCTCTATGGCCACCCAGAGGGGTCCTGTACCCCCCTCAAAGTTTGGGTCAGGACCTCAAGAGAATACCGAGCTGTTTCTTGGAAGAGGTGAAAAGGACCCAAAGTTTCTGCAGGTCAGACTGCATATGTGGTTTGGGAAAGCTCCAGTGCACACCAATGTATTTCATACAGTCCCTTCAGAGTTATTCCATGCAAGATCAAATGCATTGGAAGGGTTCAAGTCAAAAATTCCAAGCAGGAATTTTACAACATATGAGTGATTTTGTTTGGATGAATTTTACCTAAAACATTACTTGGATGTTGAAACATTGTTTAAAAAAACCACTATGTCTTATAAGGAAAACAACAAGCTTTGAGACAAAGGTACAAACACTTGAAAAGTTTTGAAAAAAAGTCAAGATCATTGGTTTTTGAAAAATCAATCAAAAAAAGATGATCTTTGTGAAAAGAAGCAAGAAAAACAATGTTATTATATATGTAAAAGAATGATACCTTGAGGAAAAGACAGAGAGAAAAAGAGAGATAGAGATGCTCAAAGCAATTGCTGAAGCTTAAAAGCATCTGGATTGATGTTGTCTTGGTCCCAGCATTAACAGTTGCTACTCATCATCAACATTTGGCAACTGTTAAGATTCCTTTTCAATCATTTATCATCACATTGACCCACCAAGATTCATTTTTGATCAGTTTCTTTTTCTATTTGACTTCCACAATGCCACAGTGGTCCAAACAAGCCCAGATCATCCAAGATCTTACCTTAGCCTGTGTCTGGGAACATCTAGAGTTGATTAATGAGTTTGCAGACTACAATGAAGCGGCGCCCAACTATCCCACCAATGGACAACTCTTGTACCCTGACAACCCTGCTGAGTCCACGCTCTACATATGATGTAGTTTTCAGCCAAGAAAATGAGTTGGCCAAGTTGCTAACTTGGGTTAGCAGAACACAATCTCTTTCTCCACAACACAAGGCTCCATATGCATCTCCTTTCAATTTCCCTGACATGATCTGTGAATGTTGCAAGGACTGTTGACAAGCAATGTATACAACCCCTGACAGGTTTGAAGCCCTCAGAGGTCTCATCCAGGACCATCCCAGCATTTTCACACTCAGCAATGATCCCCAACCTCTGGTCAAACACCAGCTAGCCATCACTCTGGAGCATCTTGGTAGTAATGGGAATGGGGCATTGGTGGGTTGGTTCTCACAGAACTATAACTTCAGCTGGGGTCAAGTTATCAAGTGTACTCAACATGTCATTGGCGTAATCCTTGAAGAAGGTGATCAGTATTGTACAGTGTCATTTTACTAGTCACTGGCAGGCCAGTGAGTACAACCACTTCAATCCAATTTCAATCCAATTCAAGTCAAGTTTGATTCAAGTTCAACATCAATCTAATTTCAGAATTTGTCCTAGAGTAAAAGACAAACAATAATACAGAATAAACTGGAACAAAGTTTAGCTGCATGTCCACATGTGAAGTGGTCAGAATGGTTTGAGTTATTTCCAGAGAAAATACAACCATCATGTCCAAATATCATTCTCAGACCCTTCCCAGAAGACCAATTGTACCTATTCCAAAACAACAAGTGGATTAAGTATATATGGCATGAGTGATAAAATTGTAGTTTTAGCTTCAATGGTATGATAGTTTTTGAATTTTCTGCATACAAAGCTCTAACTCTTTTGGGTCCATTCTGATCTAAACAAAATTCCTTGTTTGGTTTGCATATATTGGATTTAGGAATGAGAAGATGAGAATAGATGTTGACCTGAAAGTAAATACCCAAATTGATAGTCAAACAGGCCTGCCAGGTCAAAACTTGGAAGCTGAAATTTACAATAATTTAATCCATTTGGTAAAAATACTCAACTTAATTTGTCTGAAGTTTTCCATTGTCAAATGAAACCAATAAAAACTATGTTCAATTCAACCACACAAGCTTTCAACTTCTTCAATCTTACATTCAAATCATCAAACTGATTTCTTAACATCAGTTTCATTAAATGAAGTAGATTTTTCAGTCAAACCATTTGGTTTAGATATTGGTTCAGAAAACTCTTTTGGTTGTAGAAGGACTCAGTTGGTTTCATTAGATGTGATCATCACCTGTATTCATCATAAGAAGATCTTTTCATTCTTTATTAACATCAATTGATCAAATTCACAGCTTAAATCACGGCAAACAACATTAATATTGACATCATAAGGTTACATTGGAGGGATTTTGTTGGTTTTTGACAGTTTTTGATGGTTTTTGAAGTGTGTTTACCATTGATGGAAGTTTGCAAGGGTGTTATATACTATTGATGGCAGTTTTACAGGCTTTGTTCCCCTTTTTTCTGATCTTATACTTTTGTTAAAGTGTTTTTAATCATTATTTAATTACTTTAGCAGTACTAAGTTCACTAAATAGCCCCTTTATATCAAAGGAGAAATTTCTTTATGTGTGATAAGACTACAAGTCTTCCTTGTAATAAGAATCTAATTGATTGTTGCTGGTTCAGTAATAAACATTGTGTTTTTGTTGTGCTCAGATTGGAATAACACTATAGCAGTGTTGAGTTTTTCTTTTATTTAAAATTCATGGGAATAATACTTGAATTGAGTATTGACAAATCATTTATCTGGTGCCTTATCCCAAAGAAGTCAACAACTCCCTGTGTCGGTTCTTTCAAAGAGGCAGTCTCAGGCAACTTCTATTAGTTAGTTATGCTAGTAGATTATCCCTCTTTAAGCTCTGTAAAGCTCTTGTTGAGCTTCAAGTTCTACACCAACAACAGGTCCAATTCCGGCCCTGGCTAGACCCAAGGGCCTTCAAAAATCACCCAGGGCCACCCAGGTCACACTTTCAATGCTTTATGGGTACAAAAATGTGGTAATATGCAATGATTTTGGACTACATTGCCATTATATGTGTATTGGACCTTTTTTGGATCCTATATGAGCCTACTTGCACATCAAGAATATCTATAATGTGCCTAAATTATTAAAGGAAAAGAGTATTTTGTTTGTTTATCAAGCAAAAAAACAACAGGCACTTGGGAGGGCAGCGCCACTGGCATGCCCGCAGGGATTTTGTGGCTAAATCTCAGTGTGACAGGGCACAGACTGTCAGCTTTGTGAATATTGTTGGGAACAGTCAGCAGGGCAGGGCCGGGACCGGGTCACAGCCCTGATTTACCACACTACATGGAACCATGGGCTTTCTTTTTTTCAATAACCAAAGACTGAGAAAAGAGTGGGAAGAGTGAGGTATGAAAGAGATGTTTGAACGTGATTGTTGAACAGTTATGCATGATCATGATTGTCTGAAGCATTGTATAATGAGTTTAGCACAATACTCAAATTGTTTCTGTGATGCAAATTGCAATGCAGTAGAAAATGACAGACCTTGAGAAAGGTTATCGTAAATTCCATTTGACTTGGAAATGGAATGGGAGTGAGGCAATGAATTAAACAGTTAATCAAGAACAGTGATATGTTCTCTGAGTTTCTTCAAGGCTGCCACTATACTATACCAGTATATTATACTGTTGGTATAGTATATTTCAAGTATACTATACTCGGCATTATATGGAATATACTAGTATATTTATACTCATACTATGCTGTAAATATACCCAGTATATTTGGATTTACCAAACATACCTGGATGACACCTA